TGTTTTTCTTGACATAGCTGTTAATTTTTTCTCAACGAAAAAGTAACATTAAACAGATGCAATTATCATGATAGAAAAGAATAAACATTCTATATTAGGTAACAATAAAACTGATATCATTAAAATGATTCTTTGTCCTGCGATATTGATTCACGTAGTTTTTTTGTGTATTTAACATAAGAAAAAAATAAACATAAAACATTGAATTTAACATAACTAAAATCTAGATACTTTAATGTGAAATACAATATATCTTAAGGCTTACCTATTGTACCTAAGTGTCTATGCAATTAGTAACTATTGTTTCTGTTAATATGTACTTAATTAAATAAAAAAATAGCTGTTGTACTAAAATGAAAGGAGAATTGTGCTAATTCATTCAAGTGAAGTGCAAAAATTCGCCAAACTATTATTGACTGCAAATGATTATTATTTAATTTTTGAATTTGATACTATTTGGAACAAAAATCAAGCTACGTAGAAAAAAGTAAAGTAAATGGCAAAACGGTACTAATTCACTTATGAATTATATAAAAAAAAATAATTACTCTTTTCGACACCAATGCTGTTAAATTTATTTTGGTAACATTAACTAAATGAAATTGAAAGAAAATAATAAAGTTTTCACTATAAAGCAAAGTTAATGATGTAATGGTACTAATTAGTTTAGGAATAAAATAAAAATCAACTGTAACACCAGTTTTGATACCAATAATGCTCAAATAAATTTGTTGTTGTAAAGTTATTGTAAGGACAACGAATAATGATGAATAATAAAGACACTAAAATAATTTTGGCTTTTTCATTTATGATGGTATTTGTCTTTCAATTTTGTGAATGAGTTAATACTATTTTATAATTACTCTATACTATACTATTTTATAATTTATTACACCAATTATTTTTAATAATTATTTTTACAGCCTGTACAAAAGATCAGGTATTCAGATAGTTTCTTATTAAAAATGATATTTTTGAAATCATTATTATGTTGCACAGTGATTTTAAAAAAAAAATGCGTGATCATACACGGAGGTATATTAATATGGGTATATCGTTTAATTTAAGTGATTCTCCACAAATTTGGATCGATATGCAATGTTTCTAAAATAATATATAGAAAAAAAATTTATGATAAATTGTTCTTTTTCTTTTGGAACTCTGTCATTGCTACTGTTGATGACTTCCATAGAGAAGGGTTTTGCTAAAAAAATACTCAAGACTCTATTGTAAAAGTACTTAATTTTGTGTTTCATTATTAATTAATGAAGTAAAAAATATGAATTGGAACAAAATATTTCGATAGTTTTTAATATCAATTATTGGAAAACAATCGACGCAATTTACTTGTATTGTAAAGTCAAAGAACTAAATGTTTAATATTAGTTATTATCTTATTTAGAATTTATCAATATCTAGTTGGTCAGTATCAGATAGTGTGTAGTTCTGATTTAAAAAAATATAAGAAATTCAATATATTTGTCTCTGATATTTTTTTTTGCTTTGATGCAAGTATATCTTTGCTATAATTAAGAATATGTCTCCAGAAATGGTTCTTACTTTTAAAGCTTAAGTTATTTTAACATCTTTAATGCAATTTTTACCAACAATTGTTGAAATCTTTACAAAACTTACTTCTCTTTAAATTACTTTGGTCATTCTGGGAGATATATTGCTTTCAAGTAACTTCCTTAATGTTGCATTGGTTCTCCGGTAAAATCATTCATTGGTAATATTGAATCAGTTTTCAAGAATAGCCTATTAATTGATACCGTAAAAGCCTTAGACAAACAAATGTAATTAGACAAATTGAGAACTCAGTTGTACGAATACTTTGTAAAAACCTTTATTATCTACAAGATTTTGAATAAATTTATCTGTTTATTTCAACCTTAAAACGCTAAACGTGTTAAACCATATAAAGTCCTTAAAAAAGGATAATTGCAAACTTATTTGAATCTTTCAAAGCATATATTAAATCTTTAAAAAGAATGCATTCCTAATTTTTTGTCCTTTATTTCATTAAATTTTATTTTACTTTTTTTAGTAATCAATACAATTCCATTTTTTCTATTTTTTTTAAAAAAAAAGTAAAGTGTTTTTCTTTCACGTGCATGCAATCACAAGTTATTTATTTATTTTTAATTCAATCACATTTTCCGATCAATATATACACAAATTGTATGTCTTTTAAATATTATAAGGAGGCATGCGTAAAATAAATATTTTATAATTTTACTATTATAAGATGGCATAATTAAAATAAATATGTCGCAATTTTATTGTTATATGAAGGCATAATCATAATAAATATATAATAATTTTACTGTTATAAGAAGGCTTATAGGTAAAATATTATAATTTATTTAGTTTAGAAAACAGAATAAGTTATAAGATATGCATCATTCTAGCATTTTTATTTTAAGACCAAACTGAATAAAATATACATTTTCGGTAATAAAACTCTCCCTTTTGAGGATTCAGCATTCATTGAGCTTCGTTAATTTTGAGGATCATTTCTTCAAGAAACACTTAATTTGTAAAAAAAAATGCGAGTTCTCAAAAATATGGCGAAAATATTTCTTTAACTCTGTAATTCATTGAAGTACATTGTGGGAAAAATGCAGACAAGACGATCAAAAATGAAGTGACGAAACAAGCTGACTAGGCTGTATGTCTATCTCGAACCAGGAAGATCCCGACTTCGATTCCAGTTTATGGCATGTGGGAAATTTAACTCTTCATCTATATTGTTCCCACCATAAAGTGATTATTAGAAAAGTTAAGTATATTAGGTTCTACGAGGATATTTTTTTCTAGAAAAAAAATAGAATAACAAAATATCTCTCTAATTTTAATGAAATTCGCTTCACCGAAGAAGTGGTTATAGTTATTTTGTTCGTATCATATACCAGGAAACGGTTTCGTCAAAAAAGAAGATAGTTTCGTGAAATTTGAGCTTCCATTTTTTACTGTGAATAGATGTTTCAATGAAATTTTTTTTCCTACAGATTTATATAATCAAATCTGATTCCCACATAATAATATTGTAATAGAGTTGGAGAGTTTGATTTCTTGTGGGAAGAGCTGCTGTATAATTTTATAATTTTTCCTTATGAATATTTCTGTGCACATTTAAATGATATTTTAAATATATTGGTATTCAATATGTCGCAATTTTATTAAACATTATTCTAAAAAATGAAAAAATATTGTTGCTGACTGTCGTAACACAATTTAACGCTTTATAAAAACTTTTATGTATTTATAAGCTCATTCAATCGCCCATTGTTAAATGCACTGCTGTTAATATACTTACTCGTTCTTACTATGCTTATTCACTAATTTTAAAGCAATTCCTCCTCACCCATTGTTTGTTGAATGTATTAACTTGGAAATGCTTGAAAAAGGCAAAACTTTATTGGTAAAAAAAGGACTTCTCTGTGGCACTTTTTCCTTACCCTCTTTAGTCAAACTTCTGCATTAGAACCTCTAAAAAAGAAAGTTAACATAAGAATATATGATTAAAAAACCTATAAATATATTTTCAAACCAATAATAGTTTTAAAAAGGAGAAAAATATATATAATTTATTATTGCACATTAAATCTGGGTCTCATTCGGCACCCCTCTTACTTGGAACTCCGTGCCATCAACCGCCTTGCCCACCCTTTTCGATGACCCAACAGACGTGCATCTATTATTGTGTAAGATGTGCCAGTTTCTACAAAGGTTTGGTAGTCTCGGTTTGAAATAAGCAAGAATAAGAGCGGTTGGGATTATGGTTTTCAAAGTATGGAATGTTTGATGTTGGTCATCAGTTAAGAGAACTGTCGCATTGATTGTCTTTTTTTTCCCTTCCAATTTCTGTAAGAATATTATTGTATGGCTTCACAATAACAACATAATTTGAAAGAGCTTTCTAAAATGAGTGCTTTCTGAAACAGATCGTCGATAGCATTGAGCTGCAGTGCTTCATGAATAAGAGCGTTGCAACGTGAATACTGTTTGAAACACTATTCACATTGCTAACACCGTGGCGAAGAGAAGTGAGGAAAGAGGTATCTGCTTGGCGAAATCAGTTATCGAGAAGCTGGACGAGTTGAAATTCACAGTCAAGAGCACGCAATTTTCAAATTTTCTTCAGTGAAAGTTTGTTTTTTTTATTATCAAAATGGAATTACCTGATCAAGACTTATTCGAATGATGAAATTTTTTTGTTTGCGTTTGTGGTTAGAATTTCATTTGAATAATTTAAAATGTACCAAGCAAATGGAATGGTAAAGTTCAAAAACAAAACAAAAAAGAGAAATAAAATAATAATAATTATAAGGCTTCTTTAAAGCCATCTTCACCAAATAAAGTAACGTTAAATAGCACGAAATACAATCTAGATGAGAGAAGATATTCTAAAAAAATATGTTAATGACGCTAACATACAACGGCGATTATTAACAAAAGCGAAACTTTCTATATATTATTCTTACCACTCATCCTGTTGTAATGTCACTTATATAATAATAATAATATGAACCTCACCTAAGAATAACTTGAGAACCACTGAAGTTGTCCCAAAATAAGTTACGTATTCCAATTCAGTTCCTTAAAATATGCATAAAAGTTTTGTTTGCTATGAAAATATTATGTCACACATTGCGCCATCCATTTATAAGTTATATAAAGATAACCAGAATTTATTGACGGTAAATTTACGCACGTTCAGCTTATGCATACAGAAAACTGTTATACTAAACTATCTTTTGTTATATGATTTTAAATGGGTAAGTTACGGAGAAAAAAAAGAACTGAATTAGTAAAAAAAGCTTAAACTATAAATATGAAAAGTATAAGAAATACGGAAAATGCATTTTATCCACGACATCCATTGTGTTGATGCATTGAGACGGAAAATATTTCGCGTTTTATATTATATATTGTCTTTTAAATTATTTGTTCACATTGGATTATATTACTATTAAAGTAAGCTGTGCAAATCAAAAGGAAAGTTATCATAAAAGCTCAGTTTTCTTTTTCAAGTCTTAATTCTAAAGGTTGTTGTTTCCGTGCTAGGAAAACTCGAAGCATTTATTTATAATATTTGAGTAAAAAATTATTTTTTAAACAGGATAGATCAAAGCAACTATAAATATTTGTTTTTGTTTATGATTTGTACGCAATACCAAATTACGTTTGCTATTTAATAAGGCTGTCATTCATAACGCAGTTCACATTGACATTGACATTGTGATTGACGACTTAATTGCTTCCGCAATGATTTCAATTAAATTACTACTCATCATTATAGCTTGTTTTGAATACGGAATGATGCTAGAATTTGCAAAAGACTATTATATGCCTTGCTGGAAATGGGGAGTGTGCAAAGCAGGTATTTTTATCTATATATTTCTGCTATACTCAGAATCAAAATCTGGGTAATTTTTCTGTTTAAATTTGAGAAGCGTAATTCATACTTTGAGGTATAGGATTCAATGCGGACTTTTCAAAAAAAAAAGAAAAAAAACATGCGCAACATAACGCATACTTGAAATTTCACTAATTTTCAATTTAAAAAATTACATACACGTATATAATGTGTGCTTTCGTTTTTCTTTTGAACTAGATTGATTGAATTTTGTATTTACGAAGTTCGATTTAAAATTATTGCTTGAAATAAAATCTTAAATATATTTCATTTGGAAAATATCAAATAATTTTGCTCAAAAAATTGGAAGTATATTTTGAGGTCAAATTCAGAATGTTGCAATAAAAATAACTTTATGTAGTTTGAATTGAATCCTATATATAAGGGAGAGTGGGGTCAATTGTGACATTTTTTACTTAACTATTTTTAACTAACAGAAAATCCAATATATTATTAGTATTGATTGACAGACGAGTAAAGTAGACTATCCTTTACAAGAAAAAAAATAAAAACCTTATTTTAAATGTTATTTTATTAGTTATTAACAATTTTTGACAGTCGTGTACTTGTTACAATTGTCCTCACTTACAGGTTCAATTGTAACAGCTCATAAATTCAACTAAAACATAGTTAATTATACATATTATCATAGTTGTGATATATTTTTAATTGTTTGTAAACATAAGATTATTTATTTCCAGCTGCTACAGTCGTCCCTTTACTTATTGTTACGATCGTCCCCAAGAAGTCATTTCACCTTCATTTGTTAAAAACATGCCAGTTAATTAACAAAACAAATTTTTTTTTGAAATGTTAATTAAGGTGTCCACTTACATATTCGGTTAATAATTTTTATTTGTTTAAACAAAATTACTTTGTTACAATATAATATTCTAATACCAAAAAAAGTACTTACGTAGCGTGGGATTATCTTTTGTGATGTAACTCTTTCAAAAGTACATAAAAATGGTTGCCAGCAGGCGTGTACATGTAGATTTATTAAATGCACCTTGTGCACCACCTAGGAACTAAATCTAGAAACCGATACTCGAAATTTTTGCTCTGTTACAATCGCACCCTGTTACAATTTACCCCACTCTCACACTCCATTAATATCTTATCTTTTGATCGAAATATAATATTTAGATTTTTATTATTTTCTTCTTCAATTGGATTTTAAGAGCATCTAGTAACCCTATATAATTATTTATTTTCAATTCTTGTTTAAATTTAGGTTCTGTCATACCTGGTTGGGAAAGTGAATTAAATCTTTGGTTATTTTTCATAAATATTTCACCAATCTAGAGGGTTCTCTTTGTATTAAGATTAACTGCTTAAGAGGCAAAACATCTATACTAATAGTTTTTATGCTTTATTTTCTTTTTAATTATTGAAATGCCATGCTAACAAAACGTCCTAGCATGTATAAACAAGTAGTGAAGAGGAAATTTCGAGAGAGTGTTAAATCTGTTTGAGTATGGTAGCTAGTAAATAAATGTTTTTAAGGTAAGTTCTAGAAAACGGTATTGTTATTATTTTATAAATTCAATTTTTAAGAGAGCTTATAAATTTACTGAAACCATGTATTCTTAATATTCATTTAATTTTTTAAAACTTAAATCAAGAATTAAAAGCAAAATAATTGAAGCTGTTTTACTTTTTAATTTATTGAGAGGATTGTCATCATTGTTAGGAGTTGGGGCCTGTGAGTTCAATTCTGGCAGTCGGCAAAGAAACCGACTTGTATATACCACAAGGTGTACTATTATGCTGTATCTGAATGTCTAAGATAGGGGTACGCACCAGCTCTGGTGCTGTCCACGTCTTCTAAATAAATTTACGAAGAGAAAAAGGACGTCAAAATTACGAGGCAATGGCCACCAAATGAGAGAACCCAGAAATATGGGGCTATATGCTAGGCAATGGTTGGATGATGCATGAGGCGCTTTACGATTGTTCAATTTCCTTTCCCTCCATCTTCTTAATCATGCATTTTTCGAAATTAAACACTCACTCTGCAGTTTCTTACCAGCTCGGGCTTAAAGTGGTTTCGTCTTGCAGCGTACAGCCACTTTACAGTAATTTGACACCAATTTTTATGGTCAAGACGCAGATGTTCCAAAAATAGTAGGCTAATCTTGGACTTATGCTGTCATTATTTAAATAACTAAGTGGAAGAGTAATTTAAAAATTGTTTTAAAATGCTAAATTTATTTTTTAGATGACGCAATTTATGCAAAAATACGCAGTTGTTATGCATCAGTGCCTGAAAAAGTAAGAAACTTTTTTTTTCATTTATTTATTTCAATTAAAAATTAAATAAATCCATGGAAAAATCCCTGTTAGCACCTGATATACTCAAATAATATTCAAAATACAATTGTTTGACAATATTTTGCCAAGTAATATCAAGGATGAGAAGTAAGCTTAATACCATAGTGTAATTGTATCTAAAAATTAACATTGGTTAAAAAAGTAAAAAACAAAATTCAATGAATATTACATATGCAATGCAATAATAACAATAATAAATAAATAGCATAAAGATTTAAAAATTTGAGAGATTTTAGACATAGGATGGCATTTATACTTTTTAAAATGTCTTCTTGCATTTAATAAATGTTAAAATTTTTGTTGTCTCTCTCTCTGTGTCTGTGTCTTTGTGCCTCTTTCTCTCTGCCTCTGCCTCTCTTTCTGTAATACTCTATCTACTGCTCTCTCTCTTCTTTTATATTAAATTTGACATCAATCAAGCATGCGTTATGCAAATAATGATCTCGAGAGATAAATGATTTTTTTACTGCAATGGGTAAGTTGTCATTATCTAAAAGAAAATAAAAAGGAGGAAACGTCTGCAAAAAGTACTGAAATTGTTTAGTAAAATGTCTCGTGGGAGAGCTACATAACAAATTCACAAGCAAAACCTGAATTTTCCACATTTTAATTATTTCCGTGGTATATTTCTTCATGTTTCAATTAAAAAATTCGAAACTCGATCATTTCATTATTTTCGAGACATCTGAAAAAGATGGAAACTGGGTATTTTAGATATTCCAACGACCTCAAGATCAAAAATAAAGTCGATCGCATACTGAAATCTTAAGACCATTAGATGGTCGTAACTCGATCTCTCAATTATTCCCAGATTAATTATTTAATAAATTAATTATTTATTTTCTCGAATTGCCAAAACATTTTTTCCCACATCTTCACAATTTTCCGTTTCTAAGAGTTTCTAACTATTTTTTAATAAAAGAAACTGTAACGTAAAACTAAAAACCTAAAAAAACAGCTGCATTGGCATCACTTACGATTTTTCAATGTGGAGAAATTTAATTTTTTAACAAAAACATTAATTTGAAATTCTGAATTAGAAGTGGTAAAAAAGTAAACATAATGAATAGGCTTTTATCTAATCATCGATTTTTCACGCCTTAGGTTAACTGTTCTTTTACCGAAAATTAAATAAGCTAACCAGTTAGTGCTGACGGTATTTTGAGTAATGTAGCCAGGCACAAAAATGTATTTCTTTTGCGTGAACAAAAGCTTTGTTCCACAGATTTGGAATCCTTATTCGCAAAATATGGGGGAAGTCACAATCAAATTATTGGAAATATAGTTCCAATAATTTGTTTAAGAAAGCAATGGAAAGTTTGGACCCCTCCTTTTGGAATGTTATAATTTAAATTTAGTTGGATAATAATGGTTAATGATTGGAGTCAGTCGGTTAATAATTGGAATGTTAACCTAAATTTAATGTTTGGAAAACTTTGTAATGGAATCAAAAAAATTAATCTCTCTATTTCTAAATTACTTATCCAATGATAATTTTACTTGAACAATTTTCTTTAATAATAATTTTTTTTATTAATTTAAGAATAATTAGAAACTAAAGACTTGTAAGGCTACTACATTTCACAGTACATATGGTTTAAAGGATAAAATTGAAAATTTGTGTAAAATTGGTCAAATAGTTTTTAGTTGTCTAATTTTAAGAACAAGTCATTTATTTAAAATTTGAGTTTTCGAATACTATTCTAATAATTTCGTTGATGTTTTGTATTTTGTCATTTAAAATTACCATCTTTAAAGGATGTAAAAATAAATAACTTACAGTACAAATGTTTTTCGATTATTATTAAATAAATATATGAAAAAATAAAAATAATTTTGTAAAGAATTCTCTATGGATAAAGTAATTTTTTTAATCGTTTTTAAATACAATTTATAAAAAAAAATCGCTATTAAATTGTGAATTAAGCAAGAGGGGAAAATAACAGTAAGGTATTCAAACTTTCGACTACTTTTCTGCCCAAACTAATGGGACCATATTTTTTTATATTGAGGCTACGAATCATATTTCGAGGACCGCGAATCCAAATCTGTTGAAAATCTTTATGCTGTAAAGCATATTAAGTACGTCTTTGTGTTTGATTTCTCAACTTAAAACATCACCTGCACTAATTTATTAGCATATTTAGGTTTAGATTTAATATCATTAGAGGAAAAGTTAATCATCTTGATCACTTATATAGTTTTATGCACTATACATTTTAGTTGCTTATTTTTTTACAAAAATTTAAAAGTATATATTAAAGGAGAGGATTAATGACACTTTTTCTATCACTTTATTAGTCAATAACCCCTGTTTATACATCATTGTAATTAGCTTTAGCGTCTTATAGGTAATTTCTTTTAAGTACACTCTTTGTCTTTTATTAGCGCAAAAATAAATACTTTTCATTTAGAAATGCATCATGAATGCTACACAGTTCAATGAACTACACAGTTCATAGCTTTTACGTGGCATCATTATTCTTTATTTAACCAACAGAAAAACCAGCTAAATAAAAATGGAAGTTAAAATCTCACAATCCATGATTTTTTTTTGAAATTTTGAACCATTCTTACTGATTTTGATTTGATTATTTTGCAACGAGCATATCAAATTTTCAATTTCCAAATGTATATTTAATTCAAATGTTTACTTTACTGAAAGAGTTACAATAAAAAATACTGTCAGTATAGTGTTGAGAAATACTTTTCATTAGAATGAAAAGTTTGTTTTCAAAATGTTTTAATTCAACTCGAAATCATTTGATTTTGACAACAAAGGAACATCTATTCTCAAATATAGAATAGATTAAACTTTTTCTGTTTGTTTTTGAAATGTATCGTCAGAAAATCATGGAGCAAGTTGCAAAAACTCCAAGTCAGGGAACTGATTTTGTAAAATATGCGAGGAACCACACAATTCAAATTTAAGTAAAATTTTTTTGAACATATATTGTTACATTTCTTTACAGGAGAGAATTGAAATTACCAAAAAAGCCTCAGAAACTGGAGTATTTGAATATCCTTCAGATTTAGATGAGTTTGGCGTAAAATTTTGTAAGCAGGAAAAAGATCTACAGGTAAGAAAAGAAAATATTAACAAAACATTGAAGCATATGTACAGAAATTTAAAAATTGCGTGATATATTTCTAAGTAAGGTGATGTATATCATAAGAATTAGAAATTATCAAAAACTCCATAACTGAAAACAAGCGGGGAATTTTGTAACATAGTTAGAAGATTCAGAATAACGCAAGAAGGATATTAAAACATTTATTGGCATTATGAAATAAATAAATGCAATTTATTTAGTTCTCATGCAGCGTTCCAAATAAATGCAATTTAATATGTTAGAACTTATATTAGAAATTTACCCCAGTATCCGTTAGCCAACACAGATGGAGTATTGATTGCCTGGCACGATCCTCAATCAGTCAGTGTTTTTTTCCCAGCAACAGAACAAGCTAATCTATGATAGACGTAATCTCTAATAGACGTAACAAGTTTATTTATCTTACATGATTGCTTTGAAAGCACCAAACAGAAAAAAATTGAGTGTGAGAAAATTGGTTGGTTTCTTCACAATAATATGTTAGAACTTATATTAGAAATTTACCCCAGTATCCGTTAGACAACACAGATGGAGTATTGATTGTCTGGCACGATCCACAGTCGGTCAGTCTTTTTTTTTCCAGCAGCAGAGCAAGCTAATCTATGATAGACGTAATCTCTAATAGCCGTAACAAGTTCATATATCTTACATGATTGCTTTGAAAGCACCAAACAGAAAGACATTAAGAGTGAGAAAATCGGTTGGTTACTTCACAATAATTATAAGCATAGCGAGGCATGGTGATATTCATTATTTATTTGCAATTTGTATTATTTTATTATTTATAATTCTCAATCTCTTAAGATTGGGATTTTTTATGATGATGAAGATTGAGATTTTATGATAATTATGATGATTAAGATTAGGATTTTTATGATGATTATGATGATTAAGATTGTGATTTTTATGATGATTATGATGATTAAGATTGGGATTTTTATGATGATTATGATGATTAAGATAGGAATTTTTTAAGTCCCGACTATCCGCTAGGGAGCAATGATGGAGTATTGATTGTTGGATACAATCAACAATCGTGCAGTGTTTTTCCCCCGCAACAGAGCAATATAGTCTTTTAACCTTTTCCTTACTGCTGGTACAACATGTGGACCACATGTGATGGTGCAACATGGAACATCATAAGCAAAGTGATAACGTGATTTGTAATTTTTATTTTTATTTTGACACTAACTACTTCAACAATAAATCCTTATTACAAGTATTAGAACTATAACACTTGGTATATAATTTTAAAATTAAATTTAAAAATTTCGTTTAAATTTTATCCTCCTTCATTTTTTACTAACTAAATTTGCAAATCTTTGGCAGTTTTGGAAACACTTAGTACATAACATTTATAAACAAAATTGTGTAAAAAGGTAGCAATATACACTTATCAGATAATCAAAAAAGTTTCTCAAAGAAAATCCTATTGCATTGTAACAGATAGAAGAATTGAAAACTGGGTCGGAAGAACAAGTTTAGTTTAGACTTACAAATGAAATATAAAAAATGTAGTAAGTTTACATGGTTTCCCCTTTCACTCGATTTTTTGCATAGAGGATGTAGTAAATTGCTGATTTTACATTTGTATTTGGTTCTTGCACTAATCGAATTAGCTACTATATTGTTCACAATCAGAAATACATTAAAATTAGAAGAAATTTTTTTTTTGCAATTCTCGGATAAATTGTTCCCATCTTCAGATCAATGGCAGAGAATAAAAAAAAGAATTCAAGTATTCGATTATATAAATATATAAATATCACAAATCAAAATAAAACTCACGATGAAAAACATAATAAAAATCACAAATATGCAAAAGAGATAAATTGAAGAAGAAAAAATGGCGGAAATCGGAGATATGTGTACGTTTGCTTACAATGTATATCTGTTATCTAATATCTGTATCTAATATCTAATATGTGTAGTTCTAATATGTGTTGTTAAATGCATGTTAGCTCTTATATATTATATTCTTCTTGTTCAATCTTACGTATTTCGATATTTTCGGTAATTACAGATTTAACATCATGTAAGTTATACTACTTTTTTTTTTATATTTCAGAATCGTATTGCTGTTGAACTTGGCCGAATAGGTATAGATAAGTACTCCGTAAGAAAAAATTTTTTTACTTGATTTCTTAGTATATTAGAGTATCAAACCAATATCAAAATATATTTGTCAAGTTACAACTTACTACTGATCATTGTTATCAACATCACATAAAAATTAATATTAAATTGCGTAGATCCATAAAATGAATGTATGTATTCATATAGTTTAGAAAAACACTTGCAACTTCTTAAGTAATAGTTTGACTATGCCTAACGTCACATTCTAAATGTACTTATAAATATTTTTAATTTGTTTTAGAACCGTGAAGGATGGTTTTAAAAAGCTTTAGTAACAGCTATTAAAATCTGTAACTACAATGAGAAATGTTAAGGGCAATTTAAATTAATATGAGAAAAGTCATTTAAAAAAAAGATCCATATGTTTGTATGTTCCCCTTTAAACAGTATACAAAAATATTTAACATAAGAGATAGGACAGTTGAGGATATTATTTGAAAAGTTATCAAAAACCACATTAAATTTAATTTTTTTGATAATAATGTGGATGTTTTCTTTAGGATATTGTCATTTGTTACTAGAATTGTTTTATGATGCAAATAAAATTTTGTGGAAATTTCTCTTTTATACCAAGCATTCTTTTAAAAGTTCAAAGACTATTTCGAAAAATTTTCAGATAATTAAATCCGACGTTTTTTATAAGTTACGATTTGCATTCAGAAGTGATCTACATCGTATTGAAAGTAAGTCTGATAAGATTTTTTAAACGTGCGCATTCTTAAATTACAAAATGTGCTATTTTATAACTAAAATTATCTGTTAAATATAGCTTGTTGATGAAGAAATAATATTAAATTATTCATCCTATAATATGTTTTACTTTTTTCACATTGTTAGATATAATATATTTTACTTTCTTTAATTTATTTCTCTTCTCTAATTTGCAATAAATTATCAATGCAACACTTGATATTCTTTAATGTATTTATGACAGCTTCTTTACAATATTTCACTTACAAAATCTTGTTTTTATATATATGCTTTATTCAATATATAGATATTTATTTTTTTTTAGGAATTTTGCGCTAACCCCTCCACTGTCGATGATTGTGCTCGATATGAAAAAGTGATGGTAAGTTTCATTATTTTTTATTGCATTACGAGGGATTCTCAGTTTTTGTTTGAAATAATGTGCACCTTACCCTATCCTACAATAATAGAAAAAACTCTTTAAGTTTTTGATATTTCTTTATATTTCTCAAAAAATACTATTTTGTAAACTTAAAAGTATTTAGTTCATGCAAGTTTTTCTACTTTTCAATAAAGTTTAAAGCTTTCAGAAGTTTGAGAGACCGAGAATAAATTACAAAAAAAACAAGTATTTTTGAAGGCACAACGCAAGAAAATCATGCAATGAGCTTGTAACTCGTATTGATTATCGATTACTTTGGTAGTAAATTGCAGAGACTGCATACAATTTTTCTAATCCTTATTTAAATATTTATGCCGATATGAATATTTTTATATAAAAAAAACTAATTTTTTGCTACAACTTTAAAAATAGTCAGTAAAATTAAGCAAACTTCTTGCCGCAGTTTTTATTTAATTACAAAATTATTGTTTTAAAAGTTCGATTTTTTTTTTAAAAATAATGCACAAGTTATGAGTATTTAAAGAAGTTCTTTTGTGTAGTGAATGCTCGGAAAAATTTAAGATGATTTTTTCTTAATTTTTTAGTGAATCGTATTTGGCAACTAATGGGAAAAAAATCTGATTCGAATATCTTAAAAATGTAAAACGCTTCAAGCAATTATCGAAGTAGTTTTTGTCCTTTTTAAGAAAGCTCTAAAGAATCAGGGATTTTCTCAAATTGTATTATGTATTATTAGAAATTACACTACCCTATAGTAAATAACTGGATAGCAAGAGCAAAATTATGTATGTAGAAAACCCGTATCGTTTCGAACCTTCTTTTAAGAGATACAAAAACAACTCAGAAAATTGCTTGAAACTTTTTACGTTTTTAAGATGTTTAAATCAAAAATTTTCCATTACTTGCAAAATATGATTCACTATACAATTATGAAGAAATAATTATAATTTTTTTCAGCGCAGTACAAAATAATTCCCTTAAATGCTCATATTTTATGCATTTTTCATTTTTTTTTTCAAATTTTTGGACAATAATTATGTAATTTATTTTAAATTGCTTCAAAAATTTTGCTTAACTTCACTGAATATTTTTAAATTTACAGGGAAAAAGCTAGTTTTTTAAATAAAATTGTTTATACCAGCATAAATATTTAAGCTAGATTAGCGAAATGTTATGCAGTAATTGCAAATAACAACCAAAGTATTTAGTTCAAGTTGTAAGCTTATTGCTTGATTTTTCTATCTAAAAGTGTTCAAAAATATTTGTTTTCTTTTGTAATTTATTGTTGTTACCTAAAACCTCTAAAATCTTTAAACTTTATTATAAAGTATGAAAAATCGCATTTACCAAACTTATATGAAATTACAAAATTGTCTTCCAAGTACTCAAAAAAATTACAAAAACTAAAAGCCTCTTCCATTATTGTAGGATAGTGTATGTAATTAGGTATTCATCTTACGTCTATATGGAATACATCTTTTAAAAGGTTTGTCGAAACAACCAGCATTATTTTTCTACCTAATCATAATAATTATAATTGTTTTGTATCAAAACCTAACCATTTTTATATAACATTGTGTAGGTTCGTCTCATACACTACAAACAATGTCAAACTTGTCAATCACAAAATTAAATCTAAACATTGATGCAGCTGTCTGGAACTTATATTAGTAATTCAAAACGTTAATGTTAATATTTAATGTTAATAATTATTATTTACATAATGAGTTTAGTGGGAGTAAGGCTAAGCTAGTGATTGTGTGTCTGGAAATTGAAAATGAAGCAAATTTGGTTGAAAAAATTTATGCGTGGGTCATTTTCAAAGCATGGCTTCCTTTTAAAATCTATAAAGAAACGAAATTGTTACACGGCAAGGTGTATTTTTTCAAAAATGGCAAAACATAAATACTGCCATATGCTGTAAAAAATCCCGGATTAAATAAAGGTATAAAGTACCTGCTTTATAGGTGCCTCATCCTGAATACCCATTTTTATCCATAAAAATGACATTTGAGGCAGGAAATACCATAATGTTTTTTGATCCGGGAAATTTTTACAGTGTACTATTTAAATCAGTTTTTTTTTTACCTTCAATTTTATAAATTTTTTTATTTGATAATTTTTGATCAGCTATGATAAAAAATTTCATATCTGCTATCATAATCCTTATTATATTTTCATATTCGATGGTTGCGCAAAGTGTCCATGTACTCTAACTTAATTAGGCTTGATTCTTTACCATCATCCAAATGCTATAAAATTATTATAATTAACAATAAATTAAGGTTACGAAAATATCTAATATCTGATAAATAACTCATGCAACAGAAAACAAAACAAAAAACACTTTTTCCTCGCATAATTATCTCAATAAAATTCCCTGAATTTAGGATCATTTATTTACATAATATAACACGCATAACTAATATATTTCTTACAATTCAAAGTGTTTTATAATTAATTACCTTCAGCTAATTAACTTTTAATTAATTAATGGCTATGGGGGTAAACTAAAGCCATGAACAACAAGAATAAAGCACGAATTAAGACGCGTTGTGTTTGGCTTTAGTCTACACAGCAAAGTATTACCCGTTCCTTTGTTGGATTGATGGTAGTATTTTATGAGGTAATTTCAACAGGAAAAAAAATTAAAATTAATTTTAAATATTATTCCAAGGGATTAGAAATCAAATAAAATATTTTCTTTTGTAAAATTATATTTTAGAAACTGAATTTAAATCACTCAATAATTATTATTTTTTGTTAAAAAATTATTTATATTCAAAAATTTGCAGAATTAGATTAATGTAGGTAATCGGGAGTTCATTTTAAATTATTCTTTTTACATTTGTATGCAATATGTAGCATTTCCAAAATAAAAATATAAAATAAGCGAAATAATTGTTTTTTTTTTCCCTTCTTTTAGAGATGTCTCAATGATAACCTTGATGAATTGCATGCAGAAGAGTTTTGTTAAAATTTTGTCATGATCTGTATTAATGTAAAACTGCTTATTTTTGATTTCCTTTATCAATTTATGAAATAAAAATTATTGTTCTGAGCAAAGTATTTGAAAAGGTCTTATTTAGTGAAAAAAACAACTTTACAAATTATGAAAATAATTAAAAGTTGAATGCAATAACTTTATGAAAGTTTCAATATCTTATAAAACCTATTCAGTTGCAATTCCTCTTTTGGGTCATTTTCAGATAGTATGTTGCATTGATTTAAAAAATAAAATTTGCAATGTTCTTGTTCCTGATATATTGTTGCAATTAGTAATGAAAAATATCTGCAGATATCCTTTTAACTTATTATAGCTTTACTGGAAGGAAAAATCTGGTAAACACACCGTACTTTATGATAATAACATTTCTAGTTTACTTGAAATTCAGTTTCTCAAAATTACAGTTCTTTTTACCACATATTTAGGGTAAAATATGAAACTAAAAATTAATTTTAAACAAATAAATGGTTCTTATGCTATACTTTAAGGTATCCTAAAGAAATTACCAAATTTTACCACATCTACTATTTTTAATTTCTATTATAAAATCACATTTTACTATAAATTTTGCAAAATTTTTACCTAAGTGCCTTGGTAAAAATTATGGAGTTCTCTGATGTTCCCATAGAGCCTGAACTACGGTAAATGTTAACATATTCTAGTAGTTATATGATCATGTTTTTTTCTTAGTGTAGTTAGTTTAACATTTTTAACTTAATTTTTAGTAATATTTGTTGAAATTTTGAAGAAATAAGGAATTGAAAACTTACTTGGAATTAGTTTAGTAATGTCGAACTATCGAATCGAAATACTAAAAGAGACTTCTGAAGCCAAATTTTTGAGAAAGTTTGACTATTAAATTATGTCTAAAATGATCCGTATTAAAAATCATTCAAATAAAAATATTTTTGAAATGATAATGTATATTTATTTTAATTTTTCAAAGCTTCTATGAGAAGTAGTATTTCGCAGCATTCTATTTTGTCTAAATTCTTTAGAGAGGTATATGCATGTTTAGCAGGGTTCCTTGCAAATAATCCAAATTGTTTTTATATCGGAAGTTCCCAAGAATTAAAATCTAAAATAAGTTTATTTATAAATTCACGCATTTGACCAAACGTAGGATCTTTTATTAAATCAGCTTTCTTATTTAAAATGCTAATTCATTTTTTGACAAATACTCTACTTGTTTCTTAACAAAGTGAGTGAAAATCATCTTAAATTAACCAATAGAATAAATAAACCTACTACTTGAACATTAATGGATTTTGCTATTGAAATATAATAAAGTAGTGAACTTTAAAAAGTTATAGTAGGTGTTTCTTTAAATCATATCTGAACTATGCTGTGGTGTTTTATTGAACAAAATGCCATAAATGTATGAAAAAGTTTTTCACTATTAGACCTAACACAATTCTAAATTGAATTATGTAATATAGCCCATGTTCTTATCCCACTTGCAGTTCTTTTATTTAATAAGATATGCATCGAGTTCGTTGAAAAAAACCGCTTTATTAATGTGCAGTTTGAAAAATTAAAATCAAAACACGTGAATAACCTATGATATGATAATTAGAGTTTCATGTGCTAAAATTGGCAATTAAGAGCGGTGTCATTTTTACCCTTATTGGTGCGGAATTATTTCCAGTTAAATTATAATGATTAATTACATATTAACTATATATCAATTACAATTATGTAATAAATAACAATAAAATCAATTGTTAGTATGACAGCAGTAAATAAAATAAAAATAATAAAATGATTTTAACAAATATGAGCACAAAATTGGATTCAGTAAGTAAAACTGCCATACCGCTTGCAAGGCGTCATTTTTCCGTTAAGGGTTAAGTTACGAAATCAGAAATTAGAACATAGATTCTCTAAATAAATATTTTTTCAATGGCTTTGATCAAAAATTGGGTTGTAATCATATGTATGGAAATATGGTCCCGTAAGTTCCGCAAGAAAGCGTGCGTTTGAAACTTTTGATGTGTTAATAAGTTTCGCGTTTCCTTCCCAGTATGTCTTGAACTATTTTAGAAAGTCATAAACATTTCGCACTCAAAAAATTAACTCGTTTTTAAAAAGTTACTTGCATGTAAACATAATTTTTAATAATTTTTTTTATATTTTTTTATTAACTTAATGACCAAAAATACTTTTATTATAAAGTAGAAAATTGGTACCCTATTTTATAAACTTTACAGATTTAAACTAAAAATATAAAAACATTGAAAATAATCAGTCACTCAGCTCTTTCGAATTGGAAATTTAAAAATGACTCAGATAAATCCATAAAACAATTAAATAAGCATAATAGTAATTAAAAATTCATTCATTGTACACACATTAATTCAGGTATTACATTTTTCTTATTCTGTGTACTGTACAGCATTACATAGAACAAAATGAAATCAAAAACTGTGCCGAGATGAATAACAAATTAGAAATTTGTGCAATTTTTTAAACCGTTAATTTTTTAAAGATAAATACTGCTTTGATTACATAAAAAAAAGCTTTAAAATTTTAGTTATCTTTGTATCTCGTTTACTGTGTTTAAAAATAAGATTTCCAGCAGCCCACAGTGATGGAGAACAAAACTCTAAAGCTAAATAAATACATAAAATCAATTCCCTAATTTTCCTTCAATAAAAGAATTATAAGCTAAGTCAAAAGAAAAAAGGGTATAGTTATCCTTAAAAAAGGTATATTTTAGTTTTATACATATTAAAAAAATCTATTTACGCTAATAAACTGTTTATAATTATTTTTCCTCTTAAACAATGGATATTGCAACGTAATTCTTCGAAATCTTTTCATTCGGTCAAATGTCGTACACAGTAAAATTATAAATCTACTCATTTTTATATGAATAGATTTATATAATAATTTATAGTTACATACTGTTTAACTGAAACACAATTTATAAAAAATTGCTTTTTTTACGGTTATTACGTTTTTTTAAAGTAAAAATTTTGAATATCATAATAATATTGAGATCTAATTTTTATGAAATAATCTCTGTGTTTTCATATATAAACTGATCGTAATTAGCGATTATTTATTGTGTCGAAATTATTTTATCTCTCCTTACTGTAAGTAATAAGGCACATTTTAATAAGCGCAAATTGAAACGATAAGTGGAAAAGTTATTTATGCAGTAGCAATAAAAACACTTTCAGTTAAAAGACTCCCAAAAAACCATGAAAAACAAAATGCTTAATGCAGACGTTTATGAGGTATTATTTTCATTTTCACTGTACTTTTTTAAAAGCAGAAATAGAATAAGAATAGTATAATAAAAGCCTTTAATTATTACTCTTAATCTTTAGAGAAAAAAATGTTTGAAAAATACATAAACTTCCAAGAATATTTTTAAGTAAGTATTAATTAACAAGAAATTAGTTACGCTTTGCTGCGTCTCATTAAAAAGTTAAATAAAAACATTGACCTTTCTAAAAGAAGTCTAAAGCCTTGAAACAAGAATTTAATAGAAAGGAAAAAAGAAATATCATTATATTTTTCTTGATACTCTTAATTAGTTAAAGTAGGTGGTTATTTATATTCGTAAAATTAATAATAAGATATTTCCATATGATATTTACTAGAATAACCAATTAATTGATGTTGTAAATATCTCAGATAGACAAACAGATGTAATTAGACGGATTATGAACTAAATTCATACTTGAGTATTTAAATAATGTTTTTTGCTTCGTTAGACTATGTATATAGGAAATAATTACCTTGAAGATTTGTAAGCAATTTAAAACCATGTAATTTTCTAAAGAAAATATTAATAATGCCTACAAAATTATTTGAAAGCTATTTGAACCTTTAAAATAAAACAATTTTTGGTTCATATCATTTAACATTTGATTTCACTTTTTTAATAATCTATATGAGGTTCATAAGTACAATTCTATTTTTCTTCTTTTTTAATAAAAATAAATTTATTTTCAGTAAAATTTACTCTTTCACGTGCATACAATAAAGACAAGATATTCATTTTAAATCTTTCTAAACCAAATGGCATTTTTCGATTAATATATATGTTACGGTGAAACACCGAAATCTGGAGAATGCCGAAATTCACCGTTGAATGTCAACATTAACGTAGTCGCTTGGTGTATGTCCGAAATATTTATTACATTTGATTTGATATGAATTTATTCGTGGATATAATTACATTTATTCGATATTTTAATACTTACTGACGATAGATCAGAAGAAACATCAGTGTTTGGAGTATCAGGCCATACATTTACATTTGCCCGGTATACCCTACACTGATGTTTTTAAGGTGAAGTGCCACTGCCCAGTATACATTTGCCCGGTATACCCTACACTGATGATTTTTTAATGTTAAGTGCCACTGCCCGATATATATTTGCCCGATACTCCAAACACTGATGTTTCTTCTAATCTGTCGTCAGTAAGTATTAAAATATAGAATAAATATAAATATATCAAATAAATATAATAATATCCGCTAATAAATTAATATAAAATTGGATATAACAAATATTTCGGACATTCACCAAAGCGACTATGTGATTGTTGACATACACCGGTGAGGGTCCGAATGTACAAGAATGCAATGAAATATTCGATCTTTCACCGACGTATTTGGTGTTTGTCGACATTCACTGGTGAAAGTCAAAAACCACCGATTTCGGTCATTCGCCGTAACATATATACAAGATAGATAGACATAATTTGAATATTTGAAAATTATTGCATTTTGATTAGTTTAGAAAAGCAGAATACAGTCCCTTATATGGAAAATTAAAGCATTCTTTTTTAAAGGGGTAAATACCACGTCGGAACAGTATTTGACAAATTATTTAGCTGTATATGATTGAATTTGGTTTCAACATTATATTATTGTTATAAAGTTGTAAATGCTTATTAAATAATAACAACTTTTTAGAAAAATATTTTCTCTAAATTTCGAAGTAATAAATTCATAATATATTTATAAAATATTTATAATATTTCTTTTTTTTTCCTAAATTATTATGCTCTAATATTTAAAACTAATCTAAAG